ATCGTGACTGCAAATTCTGCACACAGATCACTAACCACCGGCGAGGATGGAAGACTGACAATTTAAAAGAATAGGGAGGCCAACGGATCGAGACATTAATCACCTGTCAATTTTTTTTTGACAATGACAACGTCAGAACGTGCATTTTGAAGGTAGCTAGCAACGATGCTCGCATAGTTTGCTATCTGTCTGGGGACTGACAGCGAAGTCACAGGGCTGCGGAGAGCTCGGAAAAATAGTTATTGGTGTACTTTCCCTGTCATTTTTCGACCTCGCCTTTCATTTTTGCTCGCTAGATACCCTTACTAGCTACATTATCTCTCAGTAGCAAGTGATCTAGCTGTTGCATAAGGACGGTGTGGCGCATAAAATACTGTAGCCAGGAAAAGACAACCACGTTAGCTAGAGAGTGGCTTGTAACTACAGCAACCAATTGACTGACAGCCTGTCAACAGCTTTGACGTTAGTGCAGATGTTTGTGCCAGTAAGGTAATTTGAACGGGGATGGATTTTTACGGTCAGATTTGAACACAATGTCAGCAGCTATGAAATTCAAGTTTTCAAAGGAAATGCGAGGAAGACTCCAATAAAGTTAGCTAGCCTAGCGTAAGTTTGCTAGCTAGAAGCATATCTAACGTTAGCTAGCTACAGTAACTGTGAAACACATTTCATTTGTTTTTTTCCCACGTGAGAATATGAAGAGAACCGAAAATAAAAACAAAAGAAAACTCATTCCGGACCAACAAGGACAAAGCGGGACAGCGGAGAAAGATGTGAGTTGTCATAGGTACAGTAGCGAAAGACAACCAGGGTTGGGTCCCACGAATGTAACCTAACTAGCTACCTGTATAAATGTAGAAAACAAGAATCTTCTTAATACTTTGATCAAATATTCATATGTGCTTGTACTGGGTATGGCAGTCAGTGGTTATTGAATGTACTACATGTTTCATGTACATTTTAGTCATTTAGCAGACGCTCTTATTCAGAGCGACTTTCAGTCAGTGCAGCGTTTCCCAAACTCGATGTACGTTTTGGTGTTTGCCTTTACACTATACAGCTGATTCAAATGATCAAAGTTTAATAATTAGTTGATTATTTGAATCAGCTGTGTAGTGCTGGGGCAAAAACCAAAACGTGCACCCCATGGGGTACCGAGGACCGAGTTGGGAAACCCGAGTTAGTGCATTCATCCTAAAATAGTTAGCTAGGTGGGACAATCACATATCACAGTCATAGTGGCGAAGTACATTTTTCCTCAATAAAGTAGCTACCAGCAAAGTCAGAGCTAGGAAAGGGGGAAGTAAAGTCCAAGTGTTAGTTCATGAAAGGCATTATTTAAGATACTGTTTGAAGAGGTACAAGGAGGTTACAAGTCAAACTGATTGACATGTCATTTCCTGATTTGGTTTCTCCATTTCTACTCATACATTGGTTCCCTATTGGTTCTTGCATGAATCAATCTTGAAGGAGTTCCCACATATACTAAGCACTTGTTGGCTGCTTTTCCTTCACTCTGCAGTCCAACTCATCCCAAACCATCTCAATTGGATAGAGGTCTGGTGATTGTGGAGGCCAGGTCATCTGATGCAGCACTCCATCACTCTCCTTCTTGGTCAAATAGCCCATATACAGCCTGGAGGTGTGTTGGGTCATTGTCCTGTTGACAAACAAATGATAGGCCCACTAAGCGCAAACCAGATGGGATGGCATATCGCTGCAGAATGCTGTGGGAGCCATGCTGGTTAAGTGTGCCTTGAATTCTAAACAAATCACTGAAAATGTCACCAGCAAAGCACCACCACACCATCACACTACCTCCCCCATGCTTCACGGTGGGAACCACACATGCGGAGATCATCCGTTCACCTACTCTGCGTCTCACAAAGACACAGCGGTTGGAACCAAAAATCTCAAATTTGGACTCATCAGACCAAAGGACAGATTTTCATCGGTCTAATGTCCTTTGCTCGTGTTTCTTGGCCCAAGGAAGTCTCTTCTTATTATTGGTGTCCTTTAGTAGTGGTTTCTTTGCAGCAATTCGACCACGAAGGCCTGATTCACGCAGTCTCCTCTGAACAGTTGATGTTGAGATGTGTCTGTTACTTGAACTCTGTGAAGCATTTATTTGGGCTGCAATTTCTGAGGCTGGTAACTCTAATGAACGTATCCTCTGCAGCAGAGGTAACTCTGGGTCTTCCTTTCCTGTGTCAGTCCTCATGAGAGCCAGTTTCATCATAGCGCTTGATGGTTTTTGTGACTGCACTTGAAGAAACGTTCAGTTCTTGAAATTTTCCAGATTGACTGACCTTCATGTCTTAAAGTAATGATGGACTGTCTTTCTCTTTGCTTATTTTAGCTGTTCTTGCCATAATATGGACTTGGTCTTTTACCAAATAGGGCTATCTTGTGTATACCACCCCTACCTTGTCACAACACAACTGATTGGCTCAAATGCATTAAGAATGAAATTAACATTTAAGAAGGCACACCTGTTAATTGAAATGCATTCCAGGTGACTACCTCATGAAGCTGGTTGAGAGAATGACAAGAGTATGCAAAGCTGTCATCAAGGCTACTTTGAAGAATAATTGTTTATAATATGTGTTATTTCATAGTTTTAATGTCTTCACTATTATTCTACAATGTAGAAAATAGTACAAATAAAGAAAAACCCTGGAATGAGTAGGTGTGTCCAAACTTTTGACTGGTACTGTGTATATACAGTGAGGGAGAAAAGTATTTGATCCCCTGCTGATTTTGTACATTTGCCCACTGACAAAGACATGATCAGTCTATAATTTTAATGGTAGGTTTATTTGAACAGTGAGAGACAGAATAACAACAAAAAAATCCAGAAAAACGCATGTCAAAAATGTTATGGATTGATTTGCATTTTAATGAGGGAAATAATTATTTGACTCCTCTGCAAAACATGACTTAGTACTTGGTGGCAAAACCCTTGTTGGCAATCACAGAGGTCAGACGTTTCTTGTAGTTGGCCACCAGGTTTGCACACATCTCAGGAGGGATTTTGTCCCACTCCTCTTTGCAGATCTTCTCCAAGTCATTAAGGTTTCGAGGCTGACATTTGGCAACTCGAACCTTCAGCTCCCTCCACAAATTATCTATGGGATTAAGGTCTGGAGACTGGCTAGGCCACTCCAGGACCTTATTGTGCTTCTTCTTGAGCCACTCTTTTGTTGCCTTGGCCGTGTGTTTTGTGTCATTGTCATGCTGGAATACCCATCCACGACCCATTTTCAATGCCCTGGCTGAGGGAAGGAGGTTCTCACCCAAGATTTGATGGTACATGCCCCGTCCATCGTCCCTTTGATGCGGTGAAGTTGTCCTGTCACCTTAGCAGAAAAACACCCCCAAAGCATAATGTTTCCACCTCCATGTTTGACGGTGGGGATGGTGTTCTTGGGGTCATAGGCAGCATTCCTCCTCCTCCAAACACGTTGAGTTGATGCCAAAGAGCTCGATTTTGGTCTCATCTGACCACAACACTTTCACCCAGTTCTCCTCTGAATCATTCAGATGTTCATTGGCAAACTTCAGACGGGCCTGTATATGTGCTTTCTTGAGCAGGGGGACCTTGCGGGCGCTGCAGGATTTCAGTCCTTCACGGCGTAGTGTGTTACCAATTGTTTTCTTGGTGACTATGGTGCCAGCTGCCTTGAGATCATTGACAAGATCCTCCCGTGTAGTTCTGGGCTGATTCCTCACCGTTCTCATGATCATTGCAACTCCACGAGGTGAGATCTTACATGGAGCCCCAGGCCGAGGGAGATTGACAGTTCTTTTGTGTTTCTTCCATTTGCGAATAATCGCACCAACTGTTGTTACCTTCTCACCAAGCTGCTTGGCGATGGTCTTGTAGCCCATTCCAGCCTTGTGTAGGTCTACAATCTTGTCCCTGACATCCTTGGAGAGCTCTTTGGTCTTGGCCATGGTGGAGAGTTTGGAATCTGATTGATTGCTTCTGTGGACAGGTTTCTTTTATACAGGTAACAAGCTGAGATTAGGAGCACTCCCTTTAAGAGTGTGCTCCTAATCTCAGCTCATTACCTGTATAAAAGACACCTGGGAGCCAGAAATCTTTCTGATTGAGAGGGGTCAAATACTTATTTCCCTCATTAAAATGCAAATCAATTTATAACATTTCTGACATGCGTTTTTCTGGATTTTTTTGTTGTTATTCTATCTCTCACTGTTCAAATATAGACTGATCATTTCTTTGTCAGTGGGCAAACGTACAAAATAAGCAGGGGATCAAACACTTTTTTCCCTCACTGTATATACATGGGGGAAAAAACAAATTTTAAAATTCCAACCAATCGATTGGTCAAAAGAACGAGACGACTCTCGGCCCTAGTTCTTACCTCTCCTATGCCTGCCTGCCTGGTCTGGATACAGCTACACTTCCACTTCCACACACACTTCTGTATTCCCTGTCTTTTCCTCACTGCTCTGATACAGAGCCTATCCTGGCACGCTTGTTTGTTTTGGACTTTGGTGAGGTTTTCTTTCCGGCTGTTTGGGCACTCAGTGTTTTGTCTGTGTAACTGAAGCACATTGTTCACTCTGGCCTCCACCTGCTAGAGCAGTGGGCTTCCTATTAGTTCAGACGGAACTGAAACTGGACAGGAGCACAGGCAAGGGCATTCCCATCCCCAAGGCTGGTGTTTTGGGAACCTCGTATTCTTCCTGGAAAGTCCTCCTGAGTGCCAAAGCCATAGAACAGGGATACTGGGTTTTGGGTCATCTAATGGGGATATATGAGGATTGGGGACTCACTGCCAAGTAGGTCTCCTGTCTGTCCTGTCCTGTCTGTCCGTCCGTCCGTCCGTCCGTCCTGATGGTTTACAATTGGGTCAGGGAAATCTGACTTGAAAAAATCTGACCAGTTAAGCATTGTTTTTGACTTGGCCTGTGTCCTACTGTTACATGACATATGATCACTGGGTTTGTTTGTACATGTAGTTAGAAATACAATGAATGAGTCACATGAGGTGAGTACTGTAGCTATTGAAAGGGTGTTTTGACAGTGTGTTTAGTCTAGTGTGTGTGTTTGTGTCTGCCTTGGCGGCCAGTGGGCCACTCCCCAGCCTGATTGGGTCTATAACCCCTGGGCAGCATCCGTCTAGGAGCTTCCATTCCAGTACCGACCAACAGAAAAACATCCTGCTTCCCTTTGTTATTGGACACAAAGCCTTTAGTTTCCAACTGGGCCCAGTCCAGACCACCTAATCACAGGTAACCTGCTAACGACTTCCCAAGGACCACAGCTAGGCTAGGACGTGGAGGAACTCTTCATTTAACTACCCACACACACGTCCTCCTCCTATCCAGGCTATCAAGGGGACTGCAGAGAGAGTTACTGTAGCAGCAGGACTGTTAAGTGTCTCAGATGAGGCATAGTGGATAGTTTGCAGAATGCTCTGCTCTTCATCTTTATTGTGTTAACACGAACCACAATTTCACATCTTGAATTAATATTGAGGAAACCCCCATCAGTAGCCATAGGGTTTGTGTTTGTGTGTTTGTTCAAGCTTCTGGTGGCTGAGTAGCTCTTAAGGTTCAGAAGAGTTTGTGCATGTGTTATGACTACATTTTGTGACATTTGTTTGTTTTGGACTTTGGTGAGGTTTTCTTTCCGGCTGTTTGGGCACACAACATTTTTTCTGGAGGCAAGCCGAAGTCGGTAGCCGAAGTCTATGACTTGTTTTCATGCACATTTTTTTATTGAGAAATACTGTACCAAACATCTTAGATGTAATATTGCACGACTAAAATCTCAGCAAAATGTCAAAATTAATGAAAGATTTATTGAGTTATCTTAGATTAATTTGGACTATTTTGAGGAGGTATATACTGGCTATGGCATCTCCATGGACAAACAGTACAATTGCTGCTTTTTTCTCATTTTTTAAGCGAAGGTCTTTTAAGGGAGTATGTGAGCACACACGTTCGGTTCGGGCTAGCCTAGTTTGGCTATTCACCAGCCGAACTGAATCATGCTGACACCTTTTAAAGCATTTAATGAGACTGAGTAGACTGGGATCAGGGTTTAGTAGTAACAGATTACATGTAACGGGTTACGTCATCCGATTACAAAAATGTATTTGTTAAAAACTGTAATCAAATCACATTTTATTTGTCACATACACGTGTTTAGCAGATGTTATAGCGGGTGTAGCGAAATGCTTGTGCTTCTAGCTCCGACAGTGCAGTAATATTCTAACAATTTCACAACACTTCTTCTTTAAGAGGCTCCTCTGTCCTCCACTCGTTACCTGTATTAATGGCACCTGTTTGAACTTGTTATCAGTATAAAAGACACATGTCCACAACCTCAAACAGTCACACTCCAAACTCCACTATGGCCAAGACCAAAGAGCTGTCAAAGGTCACCAGAAACAAAATTGTAGACCTGCACCAGGCTGGGAAGACTGAATCTGCAATAGGTAAGCAGCTTGGTTTGAAGAAATCAACTGTGGGAGCAATTATTAGGAAATGGAAGACATACAAGACCACTGATAATCTCCCTCGATCTGGGGCTCCACGCAAGATCTCACCCCGTGGGGTCAAAATGATCACAAGAACGGTGAGCAAAAATCCCAGAACCACACGGGGGGACCTAGTGAATGACCTGCAGAGAGCTGGGACCAAAGTAACAAAGCCTACCATCAGTAACACACTAAGCCGCCAGGGACTCAAATCCTGCAGTGCAGACGTGTCCCCCTGCTTAAGCCAGTACATGTCCAGGCCCGTCTGAAGTTTGCTAGAGTACATTTGGATGATCCAGAAGAGGATTGGGAGAATGTCATATGGTCAGATGAAACCAAAATATAACCTTTTGGTAAAAACTCAACTCGTCATGTTTGGAGGACAAAGAATGCTGAGTTGCATCCAAAGAACACCATACCTACTGTGAAGCATGGGGGTGGAAACATCATGCTTTGGGGCTGTTTTTCTGCAAAGGGACCAGGACGACTGATCCGTGTAAAGGAAAGAATGAATGGGGCCATGTATCGTGAGATTTTGAGTGAAAACCTCCTTCCATCAGCAAGGGCATTGAAGATGAAACGTGGCTGGGTCTTTCAGCATGACAGTGATCCCAAACACACCGCCCGGGCAACGAAGGAGTGGCTTCGTAAGAAGCATTTCAAGGTCCTGGAGTGGCCTAGCCAGTCTCCAGATCTCAACCCCATTGAAAATCTTTGGAGGGAGTTGAAAGTCCGTGTTGCCCAGCGATACCCAATACACACAAAAAAGTAAGGAATGGGATTTAAGAATATATACATATATGGACAAGCAATGACAGAGCGGCATGGACTAAGATACAGAAGCATATTATAAAATAGAATGCAGTATATACATATGAGATGAGTAGTGCAAGATATGTAAACATTATTAAAGTGACTAGTGTTCCATTTCTTAATGTGGCCAGTGATTTCAATAGGCAGCAGCAGCCTCTAATGTGCTAGTGATTGGTCCCAGCTTTGATGCACCTGTACTGACCTCGCCTTCTGAATGATAGCGGGGTGAACAGGCAGTGGCTCGGGTGGTTGTGTCCTTGATGATCTTTTTGGCCTTCCTGTGACATCGGGTGCTGTATGTGTCTTGGAGGGCGGGTAGTTTGCCCCCGGTAATGCGTTCGGCAGACCGCACCACCCTCTGGAGAGCCCTGCGGTTGTGGGCTGTGCAGTTGCCGTACCAGGCGGTGATACAGCCCGACAGGATGCTCTCAATTGTGCATCTGTAAAAGTTTGTGAGGGTTTTAGGTGATAAGCCACATTTCTTCAGCCTCCTGAGGTTGAAGAGGATCTGTTGCGCCTTCTCCACCACACTGTCTGTGTGGGTGGACCATTTCAGTTTGTCGGTGATGTGTACGCCAAGGAACTTGAAGCTTTCCACCTTCTCCACTGCGGTCCCGTCGATGTGGATAGGGGGGTGCACCCTCTGCTGTTTCCTGAAGTCCACGATCATCTCCTTTGTTTTGTTGATGTTGAGTGAGAGGTTATTTTCCTGGCACCACACTCCCAGAGCCCTCACCTCCTCCCTGTAGGCGTTCTCATCATTGTTGGTAATCAAGCCTACTACTGTTGTGTCGTCTGCAAACTTGATGATTGAGTTGGAGGCGGGCTTGGCCACGCAGTCATGGGTGAACAGGGAGTACAGGAGGGGGCTGAGCACGCACCCTTGTGGGGCCCCAGTGTTGAGGATCACAGAAGTGGAGATGTTGTTTCCTACCTTCACCACCTGGGGGCGGCCCGTCAGGAAGTCCAGGACCCAGTTGCACAGGCGGGGTTCAGACCCAGGGCCTCGAGCTTAATGATGAGCTTGTAGGGTACTATGGTGTTGAATGCTGAGCTATAGTCAATGAATAGCATTCTTACATAGGTATTCCTCTTGTCCAGATGGGATAGGGCAGCATGCAGTGTGATGGCAATTGTATCGTCTGTGGATCTATTGGGGCGGTAAGCAAATTGAAGTGGGTCTAGGGTGACAGTTAAGGTAGAGGTGATATGATGCTTGACTAGTCTCTCAAAGCACTTCATGATGACAGAGTGGTGGCCCTCTTGAAGCATGTGGGAACAGCAGACTGGGAAAGGGAGAGATTTAATATGTCCATGAACACACCAGCCAGCTGGTCCGCACATGCTCTGAGGACGCGGCTAGGGATGCCGTCGGGAGTTAACATGCTTAAATGTCTTAATCACGTCGGCCATGGAGAAGGAGAGGCCACAGTCCTTGGTAGTGGGCCTCGTCAGTGGCACTGTGTTATCCTCAAAGCAGGCGAAGGTGTTTAGCTTGTCTGGAAGCGAGACGTCGGTGTCGGCGACGTGGCTGGTTTTATTTTTGTAGTCCGTGATTGTCTGTAGACCCTGCCACATACGTCTCGTGTCTGAGCCGTTGAATTGCGACTCCACTTTGTCTTTATACTGATGTTTTGCCTGTTTGATTGCCTTGCGGAGGGAATAACTACACTGTTTGTATTCTGCCATATTCCCAGTCACCTTGCCATGGTTGAATGCGGTGGTTCGCGCTTTCAGATTTGCGCTAATGCTGCCGTCTATCCACGGTTTCTGGTTAGGGTAGGTTTTAATAGTCACAGTGGGCACAACATCACCTATACACTTCCTGATAAACTCAGTCACTGTTTCAGTGTATATGTCTAAATTATTTTCGGAAGCTACCCGGAACATATCCCAGTCTGCGTGATCAAAACAATCTTGAAGCGTGTATTCCGATTGGTCAGACCAGTGTTGAATAGTCCTTAGCACGGGTACTTCCTGTTTGAGTTTCTGCCTATAGGAAGGTAGAAGCAAAATGGAGTCGTGGTCAGATTTGCCGAAAGGAGGGCCTTATAACCATCCCGGAATTTTGAATAGCAATGGTCGAGGATTTTAGCAGCGCGAGTACAACAGTCGATATGTTGATAGAACTTCGGCAGCCTAGTCCTCAAATTTGCTTTGTTAAAATCCCCGGCTACAATAAATGCAGCTTCAGGATATGTGGTTTCCAGTTTGCATAATGTCCAGTGAAGTTCTTTGAGGGCTGTCGTGGTATCGGCTTGAGGGGGGATACACACGGCTGTGACTATAACCAAAGACAATTCTCTTGGGAGATAATATGGTCGGCATTTGATTGTGATCTATTCTAGGTCGGGTGAACAGAAGGACACGAATTCCTCTATTATTATTATTATTATTATTATTATTATTATTATTATTATTTTTATTTTTTTGTCATTTAGCAGATGTTCTTATCCAGAGCGACTTACAGTTAGTGAGTGCATACATTTTTCATACTGGCCCCCCGTGGGAATCGAACCCACAACACTGGCGTTGCAAGTGCCATGCTCTACCAACTGAGCTACAGGAGGCCTCTATGTTACTACAATTACACCACGAGTCGTTAATCATGAAACACACACCTCCGCCCTTCTGCTTCCCAGAGAGATATTTATTCCTGTCTTCGCGATGAACTGAGAACCCATCTGGCTGGACCGATTTTGACAGAATATCCCAAGAGAGCCATGTTTCCGTGAAACAGAGTATGTTACCGGCCTTGATGTCTCTCTTAAAAGAAATCCTTGCCCGTAGTTCATCGACTTTGTTAACTAAAGATTGAACATTAGCGAGTAGAATACTTGGAAGTGGTGGGTGGTGTGCGCGCCTCCTAAGTCGAACCAGCAGGCCGCTCCGAGTGCCTCTCCTCCGCCGGCGATGTTTTGGGTCAGCCGCTGGAATCAGTTCAGTTGCCCTGGGGAGAGCAAACAAAGGATCTGCCTCGGGAAAGTCGTATTCCTGGTCGTAATGCTGGTGAGTTACCGCCACTCTGATATCCAATAGTTTTTCCCGGCTGTATGTAATGATGCAAAACACGTTCTGAGCTAATAATGTAAAAAATAATACATAAAAAAACTAAATACTGCAAAGTTTCCTAAGAGCTAGTTGCGAGGCCGCCATCTTCGTCAGCACCAGTTGACCCGGATTACAAAAAAAAAGTGTAATCAGGATTATTACAGTTATATTCTTTAAAAAAAAACTGATTACATTTAGGATTACTTCCTCTAATATCAATAAGAAATGTTGATAACACTGTCAGTATTGCTGTTATTTCACTCACCCTCAAGACTTCTCACATGCTCTCAACTCGGCAAGATTCTATTATCCAGCTGATCGCCCATCAAGTGTAGATGGCTTCTTTTGTATTCCAATTGATTGAATGAATAGGTAAACACTGTTTTGAACACTATTATTAATGTTGAAAAGAAGAGGGTCCGAAGATGTTTTTATATTGAGTGAAGGGCACTCACGTCTGCCATTCATGGTGAGTGCATAGGCCAGGGATCCTCAACTAGATTCAGCCACGAGCCTATTTTGTTTTCTGGAGCGAATGGTCGGGTCCGTAACATAGGGTGCATTCATAAATTCACTCTACCTACTTCCAGACACACCTCACTCTGACCATTTTACTCACCCTAGCAGAGCTGGTTAGGCTGTTTTCATGTTATCTAGAGCGTTGGTGACTGTCACTGTGCTGCTGGCAACAATTTAATAAAACAATTTTGCCGACGTTTAGTGACACCGGTCATATTCAACGGGTGTTGTGCGTTTGTAAATTCATTAGTTATTCTGCGCTCTGGCGCACTCCGACGAGAGTGCTGTAAAATCCGAGTAGATAGCCAGAGTGAATTTACGAATGCACCCATAATTACACATAATTTGTAGACTGGAAATTGACCCAAACAGGTGGGAGACGGCATTGTGGAGTGCAATAGAGATTGCGTCATCTGTGTATCTATTAGGGCGGTATGCAAATTGGGGTGGGTCCAGGGTGTCTGGGATGATTTTATTGATGTGAGCCATGACCAGCCTTTCAAAGCATTTCATGGCTACAGATGTGAGTGATATGGGGCGATAGTCATTTAGACAGGTTACCTTGGCGGTCTTGGGCACAGGGACTATGGTGGTCTGCTTGAAACATGTAGGTCTGGGAGAGGTTGAACATTTCTGTGAAGACACTTGCCAGCTGGTCAGCGCATGCTCCGAGGATACGTTCTGGCAATACGTCCTGGTATGTGGTCTGTTCATTTGAAATATTCTGTCCTTGCAGTAGGTTGGTGTGTGTGCGTATATGTGTAACTGTGCGTGTGTGTTTTCAGGGATTATCTGGCTGACTGGCTGTGTGGTGGCTGTAATCCATCACATCCCAGCCAGCCAGTGGGGCTTAACAGTGCTGGAGTTGCACTTAACAGAACTGTCACACACTTTCCTCTGGGTAAATCCATCTGAATTCAATCACTTTTTGACAGCACCCTTTTTGATTTGAACAAAACCTTCCATACATATTTGCCTATTGTAGAAATGATCAGAATGTACATTTTTGGACCTGAATGCCAAAACATTCAAGAGATAAAGGTCCTCAAAGTTGAACTATTTTTCATACCATTCCATGAGACATCCATGTCTTCATCACTGGAAAATAAAAATGGTTGAGATTGATATATTTGAAAAGCTTACAAACAGGGTTGTCAAACTGTTTTATAATTTCTTGAAAAGTAACCTATTGTCATTTTTTTTTTTACTTTAAAGCGAAAATTATCTAAAAACATGTAAACATATGTTGTAGCTTAGACCCTATTTAAATACTCTGAGGTTTTTGTGTTATGCCCACCATTGGTTGAGACACAACATGCTCTTGAATACAGGGTGGGTGTCATGTTTTGGCTGATAAATGTACTAAAATGGGAATACAATTAAAATTTTGACTTTCAAATGGTACCACAAAGATGGTTGGAGGTCCACACATCAGAGAATGTTGACTTGAATGGGAATATCTGTCGTTTTTAAATTATACTGTAATCCTCCATAGGAAACCTATTGAAATCATAAAAATATAGATCATAGAAAACACATGACCATTTAAGTTGACATTCGACGGTGGGTGGATCGGCAGCCATCTTTGTGGTGGTAGTTAGAAGTTAAGATTTCAATTCAATTAACATTTCAATGGTGTACCAGCTAAATTGCAGTGCTCTGAAGTGATGGGTCCATTCTATAATTTCTATGATTGAAATGACTGTTTGTTTCAACCGATGGCAGGCACAACAGAAAACTCTCAGATGATGTAAAGTAGGGTCTAAGCTACAACATATGCAAATATGAAGAAAACAATCGTAGTTCACAAGTTTTTCGATAATTGACGTCAAAGTAAAAAAAAAAAGTCTTAGTTTTTATTCAAATGTTTATTTTCAAGAAATTGATTAAATAGTTTGAAAACCCTGTTTGTAAGCTTTGAAATGATATCGAACTCAAACATTTATATTTTCCAGTGATGAAGACATGGATGTCTCATGGTATGGTGGGGTATGCAACATAGGTCAACTTTGAGCACCTTCATCTCTTGAACGTTTTGGCAAATATGTATGGAATTTTGTTTAAATCAAAAGGGATGCCGTCAAAAAGTGATTGAATTCAAGTAGATTTACCTCTGTCTCTCTCTGGAGTTTGGCTGCTATAGGCTGTTTTCTCTTTGTCCTTGTTTTGGAACAGGCAATTCTGTCTCCTCTTCTGCCTTGGTTAGGGTTGGACTCAGTGGCTTTGGTAAGGACTGTACCATACTCTACATATCACACTGTACACAGTGAAACCACTGGAACATAAGAGAGAGAACACACTCTAAGGCTGCAGAGGTCAATCAGCCAATGTCCAGTGCAGATGTGAGCCTACTGAGCCCTGCCTGCACATGCATTAATGAACAGCCCCATTCTTCATGACATACTAAGGACATTCTAAGGCCTGAGTGAGAACACGCAATCTTCCTGATCACACTCCAGGCTCACATCATAGTCTCACAGCAAGCTTTGTGGTTCTCTGTTAGCTCTGCTCAGTTGGTATGGCACTTGCAATGTCAGGATAGTGGATTCGATTCCCGGGATCAACCATACGTAAAACATGTATGCACACATTATGTAAGTCGCTTTGGATAAAAGTGTCTGCTAAATGGCATATATTATTATTATTATTATATATTAGCATAGTCTCACTGCCCAGTCTCAGGCTGTTGTCCATGGCCCATTGAGACGGTGGGGTGTCAGTCAGGGTAAGTCAGTGGCCGTGTCCGAATACCCATAGTAGTGTACAAAATAGTATGCGAAAAAATAACATTTTGTATTATGTGAAATTGAGAAAATAGTACTCCGAATGCGTTGTCTAATGCGCGATTGCGTTGACTCCCGCCATTTGTACATTTTGGTACAGCGCGTCAATTTATCTGATAATCAGCTGTTTTCAAACACGTGAGTCGGAAAAGACGAGTGAATTCCACTTGATCAAACGGCGAAATGATTAGGCAGTTTAAGTATGTAGTACGCTAGTACAGGTATTCGGACACGGCCAGAGTGACGGTTGGACCGAGCCAGGGGAAACCTCAGTGGAGGAACAACCTCAGTAGAGAGGGCAGGAAGGAGACACTCTGCCAGGAGCCAGTTATGAGACCGCTCATCTGAACCAGAGAGAAAGAGGGAGAGGGAGAGAAAGAAGGAGCGAGGGAGACATGCAACAGAGGAGTAATGTAAGCCAAGCATAAGGAGCTTTCACTTGGGAGAGAAAGAGGGAGAGCTGGAGCCAAGGCTTAGCGTCTGCCTGTTAACACCAGCTGGTGTAGTATTGGTAGTGATACTCCTCTACAGGGCATCCTCAGGCTACAAGACATAACTAACTACGCATGTTCACACACTAACATTCCCTCTAATGCCCTTAAAAACCGATTGTGTGTGTGCATTTAACAGCTGGATTTTTCCTTAACCTCTCAAGCCTGACTAGTACTGAATGTATGTGTAACTCTGTCACCTAGGTGTAAAGGAGTGAAATGCAGTGGTGGAGGCATTGAAACATACTGTACATTAAGCTCTACCCCGATCTCCTGTACCCAGGGCTGTGCCTGTCTGTCTCACATGCTGCAGATGCACGTTCACCACAGCCCAAGCTGATTATCATCCCCAACCCCAACTCTTTCTCCAGCCACAGTCACTGTCCCATTCCCCTGGTCCTCTCTGGTCCCTGTGCGTCCGTTTGTCAGGACCTGCCCAGTACCTAGCCTGTTGTCTGTCTGTGTGCTGGGGCTGTGGAATGCACAGACCGTCAATGATCAGGTATAAAGGAATGCAGTATTACTAAACAGAGACAGGGAGACCTACTTTGATTCTGCCGCAACATGCACAAGTTGATTGTTGAATAGATATACAGTACCAGTCAAAAGTTTGGACACACTTACTCATTCAAGGGTTTTTCTTTATTTTTACTATTTTCTACATTGTAGAATAATAGTGAAGACATCAAAACTATGAAATAACACATATGGAATTATGTAGTAACCAAAAAAGTGTTAAACAAATCAAAATATATTTGAGATTTGAGATTCTTCAAAGTAGCCACCCTTTGCCTTGATGACAGCTTTGCACACTCTTGGCATTCTCTCAACCAGCTTCATGAGGTAGTCACCTGGAATGCGTTTAAATTAACAGGTGTGCCTGTTAAAAATTTGTGGAATTTCTTTCCTTCTTAATGCGTTTGAGCCAATCAGTTGTTTTGTGACAAGGTAGGGGTGGTATACAGAAGATAGCCATATTTGGCAAAAGACCAAGTCCATATTATGGCAAGAACAGCTCAAATAAGCAAAGAGAAACGACAGTCCATCATTACTTTAAGACATGAAGGTCAGTCAATGTGGAACATTTCAAGAACTTTGAAAGTTTCTTTAAGTGCAGTCGCAAAAACCATCAAGCGCTATGATGAAACTGGCTCTCATGAGGACCGCCACAGGAAAGGAAGACCCAGAGTTACCTCTGCTGCAGAGGATAAGTTCATTAGAGGTACCAGCTTCAGAAATTGCAGCCCAAATAAATGCTTCACAGAGTTCAAGTAACAGACACATCTCAACATCAACTGTTCAGAGGAGACTGTGTGAATCAGGCCTTCATGGTCGAATTGCTGCAAAGAAACCACTAAAAAAGGACACCAATAAGAAGAAGAGACTTTCTTGGGCTAAGAAATACGAGCAATGGACATTAGACTGGTGGAAATCTGTCCTTTGGTCTGATGAGTCAAAATTTGAGATTTTTGGTTCCAACTGCGATGTCTTTGTGAGACGCAGAGTAGGTGAATGGAGGATCTCCTCATGTGTGGTTCCCACCGTGAAGCATGGAGGAGGAGGTGTGATGGTATGGGGGTGCTTTGCTGGTGACACTGTCTGTCCAGGTGAAGCTGGTTGTGAGAATACCAAGAGTGTGCAAAGCTGTCATCAAGGCAAAGGGTGGCTACTTTGAAGAATCTCAAATCTGAAATATATTTTGATTTGTTTAACACGTTTTTGGTTACTACTTGATTCCATATGAGTTATTTCATAGTTTTGATATATTCACTATTATTCTACAATGTAGAAAATAGTAAAAATAAAGAAAAACCCTTGAATGAGTCAGTGTGTCCAAACTTTTGACTGGTACTGTACAAAGCTTGAACTAATGAATGCAGGTTGTCTGTGTGTGCTTTTGTATCTATGTATTTCTCAGGGTCTTTGGGAGTGAGGGTTTGTTTGCTGTGTTGAGCTGTGCTGCCGGCTGGCTCGTTGGGAGTAGCGAATGTGTTCATTACAGCTCTTTGATTTGTGCCGCGGGGCGGTTTGAGGAGCGTGCTGTGTCTGACACACCACAGGACCTCCAGATGTTTCTGGAACACTCCTCACGATGCCTGGGGTTGGTCTGGTGGCTAGGGAGAGGAAGTGATGACCTCAGGGTCGTTCCATGTCATTTCAGCAAGCCACCCACAATCTCAGATTGTTCTGAAATGGTTTCTGCAGTTAAGATAAGCGTTCCTGCAACGTTATGTTGTTGAAATAAGCTAATTGATTGCACCCAAATTGGGCCTTTTAATTTAATTTAATTAATATTGACTAAATATAGTACCTAACATCCAATTTTCCAAACTTCATCCTACCAATGAGTAAGATAAAAGGAATCAAAATAAATGGTCAAAAGCCACCCATGGACATAGGGCTTGGCGATATATGTTTTAGCACGATATTCCAAATGTCTGTATTTTTATGAGCGTTTTTAGGAGTGTTTGTCTGCTTGTTCTCATGTTGTCTGTTTGGTCTCGTCTCCTTCATTCCTTCTGCTGTGACTGTGCACCTTCCCATTTACACACACTAAGCTCCTCCCCCTGCCACTGAAAGATCACTAACTCTCTGACAACAAGCGGTTTCAACTCACCATTTGCATTTGAGGTATGGACACTTGAACACATTGCGACATTATTTTATCTGTAATAGAGGGGAACCTCTCTAATGATACCTTTTTTATGTCTGAACTCCTCAAATTGCACGAAGAGCAGACCCTACTAAAACGGGAGTATCAATTAACATTGATTCTGTAAAACAAATGCTCAGTTTCTGTCGCACGCGGCATTGTGGTACAATGTACCGCTAGCAGCATTTTAGCCACAGACTGTTATACTAGCTGTCTAGTCTGTATTTTATAAATGTGCAATGAGAATAAAATAAAAAAACTCATTCTGAGAAGTAAGGTAGGCCACTTGATTTCAACATCTGAACAAAGTGGACAGGCTAGCATGCTGTTCAAACAGTTGGAGATTGACAGAAGGTTCATAACAATTCAACTGTTCTACCTTGTTAGCTAGCAAATATAACCAAGTTGGCTAGATTTTAAATATAAAGATTAGCTGGCTACTCACTAGCATGTAGGCTTGTACTTGAGAAATTGTTTGAGACCTGTTTTAGATTTCTATAATGCCTGCTACCAGAAGTTGGTCATGATTAGTGAATGTGCATTATGCATGGTTCTGGCTTAATTTGTAACAAAAAGGGCATTTTCATAGACATACTTGAAAGCCAGATCAGTGATAATTGAAAGAAAAATGCAGGTTAAATGATTTTGATAAAATAATGTAATTATTAGTGGGTCTTATGATTTTGTGCGGTTTATATTTAGCCTAGGTATAATTTTACAAGCCCTGAATTCATTAGCTTATTGCTAACTGTTTGAAATGCAGATTACCTTTAATTGTACAATAGAAAACATTTAAAAAAATCAAGATACAGTGCCTTCGGAAAGTATTCAGACCCTTTGACTTTTCCACATTTTGTTACATTACAGCCTTATTCTAAAATTGATTAAATTGTTTTTTCCCCTCATCAATCTACACACAATATCCCATAATGACAAAGAAAAAACAGCATCGAGTCTTCTTGGGTATGACGCTACAAGCTTGACACACCTGTATTTGGGGAGTTTCTCCCATTCTCTGCAGATCCTCTCAAGCTCTGTCAGGTTGGATGGGGAGCGTTTCTGCACAGCTATTTTCAGGCTCTCCAGCGATGTTTGATTGGGTTGAAGTCCGTGCTCTGGCTGGGCCACTCGAGGACATTCAGAGACTTGTCCCAAAGGCACTCCTGCGTTGTCTTGGCTGTGTGCTTAGGGTCGTTGTCCTTTTGGAAGGTGCACCTTCACCCCAGTCTGAGGTCCTGAGTATTCTGGAGCAGGTTTTCATCAAGGATCTCTCTGGACTTTGCTTTGTTCATCTTTGCCTCGAATAGTCTCCCAGTCCCTGTTGCTAAAAAACATCCCCACAGCATGATGCTGCCACCACCATGCTTCACCATAGGGATGGTGCCAGGTTTCCTCCAGATGTGACGATTGGCATTCAGGCCAAAGAGCTCAATCTTGGTTTCATCAGACCAGAGAATCTTGTTTCTCATGGTCTGAGAGTCTTTAGGTGCCTTTTGGCAAACTCCTAGAGGGCTGTCATGTGCCTTTTACTGAGGAGTGGCTTCTGTCTGGCCACTCTACCATAAAGGCCAGATTGTTGGAGTTCTGCAGAGATGGTTGTCCTTCTGGAAGTTTCTTCCATCTCCATCTCCACAGAGGAACTCTAGAGCTCTGTCAGAGTGACCATCAGGTTCTTGGTCACCTCCCTGACCAAGGCCCTTCTCCCCCGATTGCTCAGTTTGGCCGGGCGGCCAGCTCTAGGAGGAGTCTTGGTGGTTCCGAACAACTTCCATTTAAAAATGATGGAGGCCACTGTATTCTTGGGGACCTTCAATGCTACATAATTTTTTTGGTACCCTTCCCCAGATCTGTGCCTCGACACAATCCTGTCTCGTAGCTCTATGGACAATTCCTTCAACCTCATGGCTTGGTTTTTGCTCTGACATGCACTGTCAACTGTGGGACCTTATTTAGACAGTTGTGTGCCTTTCCAAATCATGTCCAATCAATTGAATTTACCACAGGTGGACTCCAATCAAGTTGTAGAAACATCTCAAGGATGATCAATGGAAACAGGATGCACCTGAGCTCAATTTTGAGTCTCATAGCAAAGGGTCTGAATACTTATCTAAATAAGGTGTTTCTGTTTTTTTATTTTAATACATTTGCAAAAATGTCTAAAAACCTGTTTTCGCTATGTCAATATGGGGTATTGTGTGCAGATTGCTGAGGATGTTTTATTTATTGAATCCATTTTAGAATAAGGCTGTAACTTAACAAAATGTGGGAAAAGGGAAGGCGTCTGAATACTTTCCGAAGGCACTGTGTATATCGTGAATCGCCCATAAGTTTAAAAATATTTAGATTATTTTTAGGTCATATCGCCCAGCCCTAAATGGACTCCCACACCCCACACCCATCCCACCCCAACAGGAAGCATACAGTATCAGTTCTCTATGTCTTACAAGTAGTATGAAGCTGCAGCTAGGAGTATTGTTTCTTCATACTATGTAATCTATTCTCAGTGATTTTGATGATTGGTTATTTTTCCTTGTTCAGAGAAATGTATCAGTGAAGTTGTTAGGTTTATGTACCATCATACAACCTGATATTACCTGGTTCTGACCTCTAGATGGTTCCTGCTATTAGTTGAAAAATATGTGAAAATTATGAGTACTGAATTAGAATTGCCGATGCTGTGGATGATGAAAGACATGGACGTAAAGGTAAAATTCAAGTATCCATGTTATCCAGTAAGATCATTTTCTTGGCCAAACAGAGAGGATGCATATTATGTACCAAAAACAAGCATAATTTTGCACCATTTAAGTCACCAACCACTTTAACTGGTCACCAATATCATTTGGGATGTAGCGACATCACTGCAATAGATGCACTAAAGAAAGAAAGTGAAATAATTAAATAAGGAATGCGTAGTCCTCAATGCTGTTTTCTGTTTTCATGTGATTTTCTTTTATGTATTTGGGCATATACATTGTTCTAACGAACTCTTCACTCTACATTTATATGTCATTATCATTTGAAGGTTCAGTCTTGAATTAACATTGAGGGGGGGAATTATTCACACTTTTTTCAACTAATAGCAGGAACATCATCATCTATTGGTCAGAACTTGGTAATATCAGGTTGTATGATAGTACATAAACAACTTAAATTACTAATTTATCTTAACAGGGAAAGTAACCATCACCAATTTCACTGAGAATACATTACATAGTATGAATAAACAATACTCCTAGCCGCAACTTAATACTACTTGTCACACATAGAGAACTAATACTGTATACTGGCTGTTGGGGTGGGCTTGGTGTGGGGTGTGGGTGGCTTTTGACCATTTATTTATTATTTGGATTCCTCACATCTCAATCATTGTTAAGAAAAGTTTTGCTCCAAATTGGATGTTGGGTGCTATATTTATTTACACTGAACAAAAATATCAACGCAACATGCAACAATTTCAAGTTACAGTTCATATAAGGAAATCAGTCAATTGAAATAAGTTAATTAGGCCCTAATCTATGGATTTCACATGACTGGGAATACATAGTGAGGGAAAAAAGTATTTGATCCCCTGCTGATTTTGTATGTTTGCCCACTGACAAAGACATGATCAGTCTATAATTTTAATGGTAGGTTTATTTGAACAGTGAGAGACAGAATAACAACAAAAAAATCCAGAAAAACACATGTCAAAATTGTTATAAATTGATCTGCATTTTAATGAGGGAAATAAGTATTTGACCCCTCTGTAAAACATGACTTAGTACTTGGTGGCAAAACCCTTGTTGGCTATCAGAGGTCAGACGTTTCTTGGAGTTGGCCACCAGGTTTGCACACATCTCAGGAGGGATTTTGTTCCACTCCTCTTTGCAGATCTTCTCCAAGTCATTAAGGTTTTGAGGCTGACGTTTGGCAACTCGAACCTTCAGCTCCCTCCACAGATTTTTTATGGGATTAAGGTCTGGAGACTGGCTAGGCCACTCCAGGACCTTAATGTGCTTCTTCTTGAGCCACTCCTTTGTTGCCTTGGCCGTGTGTTTTGGGTCATTGTCATGGAAATACCCATCCACGACCCATTTTCAATGCCCTGGCTGAGGGAAGGAGGTTCTCACCCAATATTTGACGGTACATGGCCCCGTCCATCGTCCCTTTGATGCGGTGAATTTGTCCTGTCCCCTTAGCAGAAAAACACCCCCAAAGCATAATGTTTCCACCTCCATGTTTGACGCTGGGGATGGTGTTCTTGGGGTCATAGGCAGCATTCCTCCTCCTCCAAACACGTTGAGTTGACGCCAAAGAGCTCGATTCTGGTCTCATCTGACCACAACACTTTCACCCAGTTCTCCTCTGAATCATTCAGATGTTCATTGGCAAACTTCAGGCGGGCCTGTATATGTGCTTTCTTGAGCAGGGGGACCTTGGGGGCGCTGCAGGATTTCAGTCCTTCACGGCGTAGTGTGTTACCAATTGTTTTCTTGGTGACTATGGTCCCAGCTGCCTTGAGATCATTGACAAGATCCTCCCGTGTAGTTCTGGGTTGATTCCTCACCGTTCTCATGATCATTGCAACTCCACGAGGTGAGATCTTGCATGGAGCCCCATGCCGAGGGAGATTGACAGGTCTTTTGTGTTTCTTCCATTTGCGAATAATCGCACCAACTGTTGTCACCTTCTCACCAAGCTGCTTGGCGATGGTCTTGTAGCCCATTCCAGCCTTGTGTAGATCTACAATCTTGTCCCTGACATCCTTGGAGAGCTCTTTGGTCTTGGCCATGATGGAGAGTTTGGAATCTGATTGATTGATTGCTTCTGTGGACAGGTGTCTTTTATACAGGTAACAAGCTGAGATTAGGAGCACTCCCTTTTGCGTCTCTGCGCTGCATGGCATTTCTTCTGCGCGGCAGTCCTGGAGGAAGTGCGCATGCATTTTAAAGGGAACATTGCTAATCTCAGCTCGTTACCTGTATAAAAGACACCTGGGAGCCAGAAATCTTTCTGATTGAGAGGGGGTCAAATACTTATTTCCCTCATTAAAATGGAAATCAATTTCTAAGATTTTTGACATGTGTTGTTCTGATTTTTTTTTTTTGTTATTCTGTCTCTCACGGTTCAAATAAACCTACCATTAAAATTATAGACTGATCATTTCTTTGTCAGTGGGCAAACGTACAAAATCAGCAGGGGATCAAATACTTTTTTGCCTCACTGTATATGCATCTGTTGGTCACAGATACAGTACCTAAAAAGGTAGGGGCGTGGATCAGAAAACCAGTCAGTATCTGGTGTGACCACAATTTGCCTCATGCAGCGCAACACATCTCCTTCACATAGAGTTGATCAGGCTGTTGATTGTGGCCTGTGGAATGTTGTCCCACTCCTCTTCAAGGGCTGTGCGAAGTTGCTGTATATTGGCGTGAACTGGAACACGCTGTCGTACACGTCGATCCAGAGCATCCCAAACATGCTCAATGGGTGACATGTCGGGTGAGCAATGTTCCCTTTAAACTGCATGCGCACTTCCTCCAGGACTGCCATGCCATGCAGCGCAGAGACGCAAGAGATTGAACTTCACTGAGTTTGTCCCATTAGTTTGCACTACAGTGCATTCGGAAAGTATTCAGACCCCTTTTTCCACATTTTATTACGTTACAGCCTTATTCTAAAATTTATTAAATAAAAAAAATTTTCCTCATCAATCTACACAAAGCGAAAACAGGTTATTAGAAATTTTAGCAAATGTATTAAAAATTAAAAACGGAAATTCCTTATTTACATAAGTATTCAGACCCTTTGCTATGAGACTCAAAAATGAGCTCAGCTGCAACCTGTTTCCATTGATCATCCTTGAGATGTTTCTACAAGTTGATTGGAGTCCACCTGTGGTAAATTCAATTGATTGGACATGATTTGGAAAGACACACACCTGTCTATATAATGTCCCACAGTTCACAGTGCATGTCAGAGCAAAAACCAAGCCATGAGGTCAAAGGAATTGTCCGTAGAGCTCCGAGACTACACGATTGTGTCGAGGCATAGATCTGGGGAAGTGTACCAGAACATTTCTGCAGCATTGAAGGTCCCCAAGAACACTTTCCTCCATCATTCTTAAATGGAAGAATATACAGTGCATTTGGAAAGTACCCCTTGACCTTTTACACATTTTGTTACATTACAGCCTTATTCTAAAATGTATTTTTTTTTTATTCCCTCATCAGTCTACACACAATACCCCATAATGACAAAGCAAAAACAGGTTTTTAGTTTTTTTTTGTAATTTATAAAAAATACAAAACTGAAATATTACATTTACATACAGAACCAGTCAAAAGTTTGGACACACCTACTCATTCAAGGGTTTTTCTTTACTTTGACTATTTTCTACATTGTAGAATAATAGTGAAGACATCAAAACTATGAAATAACAAATATGGAATCATGTAGTAACCAAAAAGTGTTAAACAAATCAAAATATATTCAACATTCTACAATGTAGAAAATAGTAAAAATAATGGAATGAGTAGGTGTGTCCAAACTTTTGAATGGTACTGTAAGTGTTCAGACCATTTACTCATTACTTTGTTGAAGCACCTTTGGCAGCGATTACAGCCTTAAGTCTTCTTGGGTATGCCGCTACAAGCTTGGCACACCTTTGTTTGGGGAATTTCTCCCATTCTTCTCTGCAGATCCTCTCAAGCTCTGTCAGGTTGGATGAGGAGCGTCGCTACACAGCTATTTTCAGGTCTCTCCAGAGATGTTCGATCGGGTTCAAGTCTGGGCTCTGGCTGGGCCACTCAAAGACATTGAGACTTGTCCTGGAGCCACTCCTGCGTTGTCTTGGCTGTGTGCTTCGGTTCGTTGTCCTGTTGGAATGCACTGTATGTCTTAATTAAAGGGCAGTGTTGTATTTTGAGCAAATAGTCAGAGGGGTAGCCTATGTTGTCTAATTCTCTGTATGATAATAGTAATTGATTTTATTTTGTAAAGTGGTTTCTTCCATCATACAACACAGAACAATGCAATTTACAGTCACCTATTTGGCCCATGGTGTTACAGATCAAGTAAAAAATCAGGAATTAATGTAAATCCCTTCATAATGTAAAAAACATTTTTTTAAGTCTCGTGAAATGTAGGCCTGCATTGAACACTACATATAGGCTACTGTAGGCTATATCATAGAAATGTCTATTTGTAAATGTTATGGGATTTGCTCCATTGGTTTTGTTGGTAGGCCTACATAAATAGCCAAAATAGCCTATTGGCTACTGTCTAAAACTGTAAGGGTACAGCCTCAGTGTTTCCTGTAAATGCACGCCGGAAGTTGCACAAAATTCTCACAACATTCAAGTTTCCTCTCACAAGACATAACATTTGCTCAGTGGGCCAAAAATTAGAGGGAACATTGCTGGTGAGTATGCAGGCCACAGAAGAACTGTGACATTTTCAGCATCCAGGAATTGTGTACAGATCCTTGCGACATGGGGCCGTGCATTATCATGCTGAAACACGAGGTGTTGGCGGTGGATGAATGGCAAGACAATGGGCCTCAGGATCTCGTCACGGTATCTCTGTGCATTCAAATTGCCATTGATAAAATGCAGTTGTGTTCGTAGCTTTATGCCTGCCGTTTACATTTTAGTCATTTAGCAGACTCTTATCCAGAGCGACTAACAGTAGTGAGTGCATACATTTTCATACTTTTTTCATACTAGTCCTCCTTGGGAATCGATCCCACAACCCTGGCGCCATGCTACATGGGACTACAGCTGCTTGATATGCCACACCTGTCAGATGGATGGATTATTTTGGCAAATTAGAGATATTCACAAACAGATTTGTGCACAACATTTGAGAGAAATAAGCTTTTTGTGCTTTTATTTCAGCTCATGAAACATTGCACCAACACACATTAAATGTTGCATTTATATTTTTGTTCAGTATAATATATGAATCCTATGAATTGAAATGGCTAATTTGGGTGCAATCAATTAGCTTAATTTCTCAGAGTTCAAATAGTCTTTCAACAAAATAATGTTGCAGGAGTGGCTATCTCATCTGATTCTAACTAAATAAAGGATTTCAGAGCAATCTGAGATGGTGGGTGTCAAAATCCTCTTTCTTGTGCTTTTTGAGGTGGAACCACCCCTCAGCCAAGCCATGTTTCCACGGTGACGGATGTTTCCGAGGTCTTCGATGCAAAAACAAATAGGCCTGACTCATCGTACTGGCTGTACATCACATCCTCCATGTGTCTGTCTCTGGTGATCTCGGTTGGAATTTGGTCTCAACAGACAAAATCAATATCTCACTTCAGTAACTGTCCTAGCATCTCTCAACCACTAAACTGTCCCTGGACCAGTTGCTAAGGGCAAAGCCTAACAAACATCCATCAACGACTGAGTGATTGATTGATTGATGGTGAATGGTCGTGCAACTGGTGTGTGTGTGTATGTGTGCGCGTGCGTGTGCACTCTGCTCAGTCCATCTGCACAGCGGCAGAGCACAGTCTTCCAAAATGAGAAGAGCAGGTGTGTGTGTGTGTGTGTGCCTGTCTGTGTTAGTGTTGTCACGATACCAACATTTTGACTTTGATACTGATATACTGACTGATCTTGGCTTGGTTGGCTTTGCTGTGGCGTGACATCACTGTTGAACGGCTACAGTCATTGCATCACATGTTCCATAGCTGAGTGGACTGGGACGGACAGGCTACTTGACTCGTTCGGATTAGAGACGAGTGTTTTTAATAGGCCAGCCTTTTGTTTTCTTCTCCTCCAACCCCTCGCTTCCCCCTCTCCATCCTCCCTCTCTCTCCCTCCCTCCCTCCTCTCCGTCTCTCTCTCTGTAGGAGTTTGCTGCGCCCCCTCCCCTGTTGTTCAGGAAGTTGAGTAACCCTGACTTGTCCCCCGCCGCCAACAATACCAAACTACACCGACAGCCCAGCCAGAATGATGGCCGCACACGCCGTAGCAGTATGGCTAGGACCGGTAAGAGAAACACACACACAATCATGAGTCCATGCGAAAGCACTCCAGAAGCTCCACTTTTCTGTCATTCTGCTGTCAGATCTAGTTGAGCTGTTGTCCCCCCCACCAGGTAAGCAGCGTCTGCCCCTGTCCAGCAGTATGCACAGTGGGGTGAGTCAGCTAGCCTGGCATCCTCCTGTAGAACCCCCCAACAATCTGGTCCGCATGAGGAACCAGTCCCTGGGCCAGTCTGCACCATCACTCACTGCAGGACTGGTGAGTACACTACAAATACAGACAGACAGACATGACAATGACTGAATTCCTCATCCTTATTCATTCATAGAAACACCATCCCGTTGTTCCTCATTTATGTACTGTCCCAATGAATCCAATATTCCCCAATTAGCAATAGCCAACTTTTAGGCTATATTACTCTTTTATTGCCCATCCATTTTATTGCTCCATCTATCTACCCAGCCAGTACACAGTGCTGTGCACTATTTCCCTTTACATAGAGAGCTGCAGCAGGCAGGCAGAGAGAGACTGATAAGTCAGGCTGTCTCTATATTCACTAGTCAGGACAGCTGGCTGCTCTGCCCTGCCCTCACTGACATCCATACAGCCACTCAGTACGCACACGATCTGTCTGCCCACCCATAAAGCACACTGAGCGCTATACACACTGTCTGTCTGACAATACGGTCTGCAAACTGAGACCTATGGCAGGAGAACTGGAGAGTGATTGAGTGTGTGTGTGTAAAAAAGGAAAGGGTATACCTAGTCAGTTGCACAACTGAATCCATTCAACCGAAATATGTCTTCCACATTTAACCCAACCCCCCTGAGTCAGAGAGTTGAGGGGGGCTGCCTTAATCGACATCATCGGCGCCCGGGATGCAATTGTTCTTGGGGATTAATTGCCTTGCTCAAGGGCAGAACGGCATATTTTTCCACCTTGCCGGCTCGGGGATTCAAACCAGCGACCTTTTGGTTACAGGCCCAACGGTCTTAACCGCTAGGCTTCCTGCTGCCCTACCTCTGTGTTTGCGTGTGGCGTTCGTTCATTTGTACGAGTGTGTGTGAGGAAATGTATCACGACGCACAGCTCATCTGACCTGCATAATATGATAGGCATGTTGATAGCCGTGTAGTGGTGTGTGTTGCATCCATTGACTGTATACGTTTGTAACAAGCTGTTGCTGCGCTAGGGCTACACCTACTGGCAGTGCATGGCACTGCAGGTTCATGAATGTGATCCATAAAATACAGTCTTCAGCTGTTCAACCCACCAATAGATGGCAGTATTATCAAATATTTGAGTTTTCAGCTTTGGGCAACACTTGTAAGAGACAGTGGCACAAAGCTGTATATATTATAGCTGGTTGAGAGACACTCACATTCATAGCATTCATTCTACACGCCCACAGCTTGGCCTTTAAAAAGTTGGTTCACTAAAACATTACAGGGTCTTACAGGGTCAATGAGAGGCCAGGGAAAGTTCAAGGTTTTGTCAATTAAAATGTTATGTAACTAACGACCGACGCAAATACCAATGAATGGTTTGATTGTAAACAGTGTCAGTATGAATCAATTGTGTTGTCGTGTTTCATTGAGAAGGTGTCTTATCAGATTAGTAAAAACGGTTCATTGTGGTTTGTGTGAATGACATTTAGAAAGGCCCGCAAACAAAACGTTTTAGACTTTTTGAAAGTATCCACAGCTATTACGTAATGCAGCCAACAGGAAATTGTGGAAGCGTTTTGAAACGGAAAATATGACCTGCGGAGCTGTTTTAGATGAGCAAATAGTCATAGGTTATTATATTTTTCATAGGCCAGTTTATTAAAGTTTTCCTCAACTTACGTTTTAGTCATTTAGCAGACGCTCTTATCCAGAGTGACTTACAGGAGCAATTAGGGTTAAGTGCCTGGCTCAAGGGGTCACCGCCACTTTTCACCTAGTTGGATCAGGGGATTCGAACCAACAACCTTTCAGTTACTGGCCCAATGCTCTGCCACCCCAACCGCCCCTCTGGTTTCTTCCTTTAGCATAAATACAGTAGCTAGCTACAGTAAGTCTCTCTGAGACTACAGTGGGGGAAAAAAGTATTTAGTCAGCCACCAATTGTGCAAGTTCTCCCACTTAAAAAGATGAGAGAGGCCTGTAATTTTCATCATAGGTACACGTCAACTATGACAGACAAATTGAGATTTTTTTTCTCCAGAAAATCACATTGTAGGATTTTTAATGAATTTATTTGCAAATTATGGTGGAAAATAAGTATTTGGTCACCTACAAACAAGCAAGATTTCTGGCTCTCACAGACCTGTAACTTCTTCTTTAAGAGGCTCCTCTGTCCTCCACTCGTTACCTGTATTAATGGCGCCTGTTTGAACTTGTTATCAGTATAAAAGACACCTGTCCACAACCTCAAACAGTCACACTCCAAACTCCACTATGGCCAAGACCAAAGAGCTGTCAAAGGACACCAGAAACAAAATTGTAGACCTGCACCAGGCTGGGAAGACTGAATTTGCAATAGGTAAGCAGCTTGGTTTGAAGAAATCAACTGTGGGAGCAATTATTAGGAAATGGAAGACATACAAGACCACTGATAATCTCCCTCGATCTGGGGCTCCACGCAAGATCTCACCCCGTGGGGTCAAAATGATCACAAGAACGGTGAGCAAAAATCCCAGAACCAGACGGGGGGACCTAGTGAATGACCCGCAGAGAGCTGGAACCAAAGTAATAAAGCCTACCATCAGTAACACACTACGCCGCCAGGGACTCAAATCCTGCAGTGCCAGACGTGTCCCCCTGTTTAAGCCAGTACATGTCCAGGCCCGTCTGAAGTTTGCTAGAGTGCATTTGGATGATCCAGAAGAGGATTGGGAGAATGTCAGATGAAACCAAAATAGAACTTTTTGGTAAAAACTCAACTCGTCGTGTTTGGAGGACAAAGAATGCTGAGTTGCATCCAAAGAACACCATACCTACTGTGAAGCATGGGGGTGGAAACATCATGCTTTGGGGCTGTTTTTCTGCAAAGGGACCAGGACGACTGATCCGTGTAAAGGAAAGAATGAATGGGGCCATGTATCGTGAGATTTTGAGTGAAAACCTCCTTCCATCAGCAAGGGCATTGAAGATGAAACGTGGCTGGGTCTTTCAGCATGACAATGATCCCAAACACACCGCCCGGGCAACGAAGGAGTGGCTTCGTAATAAGCATTTCAAGGTCCTGGAGTGGCCTAGCCAGTCTCCAGATCTCAACCCCATAGAAAATCTTTGGAGGGAGTTGAAAGTCCGTGTTGCCCAGCGACAGCCCCAAAACATCACTGCTCTAGAGGAGATCTGCATGGAGGAATGGGCCAAAATACCAGCAACAGTGTGTGAAAACCTTGTGAAGACTTACAGAAAACATTTGACCTGTGTCATTGCCAACAAAGGGTATATAACAAAGTATTGAGAAACTTTTGTTATTGACCAAATACTTATTTTCCACCATAATTTGCAAATAAATTCATTAAAAATCCTACAATATGATTTTCTGGATTTTTTTCCCTCATTTTGTCTGTCATAGTTGACGTGTACCTATGAAGAAAATTACAGGCCTCTCTCATCTTTTTAAGTGGGAGAACTTGCACAATTGGTGGCTGACTAAATACTTTTTTCCCCCACTGTATGTCCTCCAGTATTAGATAGCTGTATGGCCAAACATACAGCTTCCAGTAAACAACCATTTGTATTTATCCTTTTCCTAACAGCTGTGTTGCATGCCTCAGGGTCTGTCTGTCTTGTGCTGAGAGGTTTGAATCTGTTATTGATTTTAATTATATTAGTTGTTCAGTTACAGTACATGGGCCTATTGGTGAAACTATTCTCCTGTACTGTAGCTAAGGGCTATGAGATCAATGTCACCTAAGGCCTGAATGGCCCATTAATATCAGTAACTGTCAGCCTCGAGCCATAGTCACCATTGGGCAATATGGTTTGTTGATGTCTTCACATATGTATAAATTGGGCTCCCTGCCGTATTGGCTGGTGTAACAGCCATGTTGTGCCTTGTATGACACATAATGTTATCACAGTTCTTCATGGGATGTGAAAATCATGTCTTGTGTCACTGTCTTCCCTAGTGGGTCTCTCTTGTTTGGTCAGGCACTCATTTAATTGAATACCCTCTCATACAGTACAGAGCTCTGATGATGGGAATGGAGGCACTGCAGTCTGGTCCCTGGTCTGGTCTACACTCTGCAGGGAAACAACCCTGCATAGCCAGATGGTGTTTACATCCGGGCTAATGGTATGTGTGTGTGGTGCCTAGAGTGTGCACTTGGTGTGTGTTTTCATGAAAAAGACACAATACGTTACCTATAATTCCTGGAAATCACCTGGTAACCTATCAGAGTGGCAGGTGGCCAGAGAGTGGCCTAGTCTAGTGGCCTTAAGTGTACCCTGAGAGAGGAGCACCTGGACAGGATGAGGATATGTCTCATTGGTTTGAATGTTTTTCATTCTCTGGCACCCATCAGAACATCTAAGCTACAGCACTTGTCACCATGTACAGCCTGGTCTCATAGACTAGACGTAACAAAGTAAATGAAAATCCGAGACACTCAAATTAGTATGATATGTTACGTTTGGTATGGTTGCATAAGACAGATGGTTACTTAAGGCAAAAACGAATGTAGGGTGGTTGGTGGGCGTATAATGTGAACGTCGAGCAACCCAAAGGTTGCGAGTTCGAATCTCTTCACGGACAACTTTAGCATTTTAGCTAATTAGCACGTTTTCAACTACTTACTACTTATTTTTTGCTACTTTGTAACTACTTAGCATGTTAGGTAACCCTTCCCCTAACCCTAACCTTAACCCTTCCCCTAACCCTAACCCTTTAACCTAACTCAAACTTAACCCTAACCCCTACCCTAGCCTAGCTAATGTTAGCCAGCTAGCTAACGTTAGCCACCTAGCTACTGAGCTAGAATCCGTAACATATCATACGTTTTACAAATTCGTAACATATTGTACATTTTAGCAAATTATTGCATACCATACGAAACGTAACATATCATACATTTACATTTACATTTAAGTCATTTAGCAGACGCTCTTATCCAGAGCGACTTACAGGAGCAATTAGGGTTAAGTGCCTTGCTCAAGGGCACATTAACGTCATTTAGCAGACGCTCTTAGCCAGAGCGACTCACAAATTGGTGCGTTCACCCTATAGCCAGTGGGATAACCACTTTACAATTTGGGACTAAATGGAGTGTCTCGGAGTAATGTAAAGAATA